ATTGTTGTAGAAATTGTTACCATGATTCTTATTTTTTTAGAGAGGGAGAGAGGCGGGCAGGGCAAAGGAGGATGGAGAAAGAATCCCAAGCAGCCTCCACACCCAGCGTGGAGCCCGACGTGGGGCTCGGTCTCAGGACCCTGAGATCATGACCTAAGCCAAAATCAAGCCTGTAGCTTAACTGACTGAGCCACCCAGGCGCCCCGGCATCATGATTATTTTAACTCTGGCTTTTCAGTTGTGATGAATGTTTTACACCTGCACAAGCTGTTGTTAACTCTAGCTCTACAAACACGATGACACAGGGGTCATTATTTCTATTTCTCACGGGAGGGCTAAGAAACCTGGAAGTTTAAAGTGCCCACCTGAAATTGTGACTGATGGTTCGTGGGGTATTTGGAAAGTTCTTTCTTTTTTTAATTAATTAATTAATTTGAGAGAGAGAGCGTGTGGGGAGGAGGGACAAAAGGAGAGGGAGTCTTAAGCAGATTCCGCACTGATCGAGGGCTCGATCTCACAACTCTGAGATCACGACCTGAGCCAAACCAAGAGTTGGACGCTTAACTGACTGCACCCACCAGGCACCCCTGGAAAGTTCTTAATCTGACCATGACCATGTGTAGCCGCTTTGTACTGCAATGTAGATTATTCAATTTACCAATGTATTTCAACAATTAAAACATTTTTATCCTTCTTTAAAAAAAAAACCTAAATACAATAAAGTGTCCACCTGAGCTTACACAAGGAATCCCCGAGGCCAGGGCGTCCTAGTCCTGCCTCTCACCACTACCTCACCGCTTCTCTTCCTCCTCTTCCCAGACCAGCTATTTAGGCAAGCTTCGATTATGTGCATTTATCATTTTAGAAATAATGACAGAATACTGACGGAAAGGGAGGTGCTGGGGTCATTAGCAAACGTTTGTTATCATTCTTACTCATGAAAGCTTGGAAGGCCCCCAAAACCTCACATCATCCCCAAGGCCTGTGGCCGGCTTCCTGCTTCCCAGGGCCTATTATTTAGGGACTGTCTGTGTTGCCCTATCAAACAATGATGTCTCCTTACCTTCTGGCTTTGCTTGCCTAGTCACCCTCTTTCCCTGGGAGATGGAAGGGTGTATCAAAGCAAGAGAAAGCGTCAGTGGCTATTTCTTCCCCTTCTCTCTTGGTTGAGTATTGTTTTGGCATCTTGTATACACCCATATTAATTAATTATTAAGTATATGTCTTGCAAGGCAGTTCTTTGCCTTGGGCAGGAGACTTTTTTTTTTTAGGGAAAAATCATTGTGAAATTAACATGGCGATTAGTAAGCAAGGCAAGCATGCAGTGTCATGTACCAACTCACCAGCGTTTTCTTGTGAAAGGAAGACTCTAAATTCACTTCCAGAATGCCATGAACAGCTCACTGGGGCCATTACCACTTGCCCTCTGACCCCTTTCCAAGTTATAAGCCACTTTGTATATTTGCCTCAGAGAAAAATTGGGCCCCACCCTGGCGATTCTCCAATGAATAACTAATTGAAATGCTTACCAATGAGGAAGGCAGGCTTCTTCCAGAACCTCAATCTTTCTCAGAGCATGCACTGTTTAAAATAGGTGTCATGGGGTTCCTGAGGTCCTAAGACAACCTAAATGAGGAAGATTTTCATAAAACTTGGTTGAAAGGCACTTTCTTTTACTACAGTGTCTTATATTTGAGGTCGGGGCAGAGTGAAGAGAGGAGAAGGTTAAATCAGGGATAATGTCACATAGCTGTAGGGTTTATAATGACAGTTGCATGATTTTTTGTGGGGAGAGCAGGACCCGCTTGTGTGGAAATGCAGTTTTCACAGGAAGATATCCACAGGTTGGAATATCACAACCCCATACAGTCCAACAAAAGAAGATGTCCTGGCCTGGGTGCCTGGGTGGCTCAGTCGTTAAGCGTCTGCCTTTGGCTCAGGTCATGATCCCAGGGTCCTGGGATCGAGCCCCGCATCGGGCTCCCTGCTCAGCGGGAAGCCTGCTTCTCCCTCTCCCACTCCCCCTGCTTGTGTTCCCTCTCTGTCTTGCTCTCTGTCAAATAAATAAATAAATAAAATCTTTAAACAACAACAGCAAAAAAAAACCCATTGCACATACAACATAAACTCATTAGGTCTCTGAGACACTCTCCTTTCCTTGATCAGTTTATCAAGGTGGGAAACATGAACAACTGGTCTTGGGAGTATACATGAAAGTGAGGGAACACTGCTATACCATATGGTTTAGGCTAAGTATACCATACCTGGCACCAAATTTAGCATTTTATAAACCGGAAACCATTTTGTAGAAAATTCCTTTATTATAGTGCAAATAACTTTCAGCAGTGACATAATAATGTAAGAACACATTTAGCAACATTTTACACCACGCAGTAAATAAGAAAGTGTTTCTTTGAAAATATGTCATCATAAGAACATTATTCCTACATCAATGCCGGAAAATGCCAAGGCTGTTTCTCTCAAGGCAACAGGACTCCCTCCCTCTTTTCGGATATTTCCTTCTTAATAGAAATGAAAGGATTTGCCATTTTAACAAGCCACCATCAATCATTTCCCAGAGCGACTTCTTAGGGGGTTTTGAACTGAGGTTGGCAAGATTTGAAATGGGGTTTCAGATTTTAAAAAAATAATAATTTTGAGACAATTCTGGGACAGCCCAGAAAGTAGAAGTCACTTCTGTTAGTTTTTAAGTAGATACATACATTCACTCCAATTTTGATGCAGAAATGGACAGATTGTCTAAAGCCTGCCTTTTATTCCCCCAGAGCCTGATTGTTATTCATACTCCTTGGTTTTGGTCATGTTGCAAAATTAGGGCTCTGGTCAGAAATAACTCCTTACATACCGAAATGCTTTCCTGTGAAGCTTTAAATTGCACTTTCCACCCTGAATTCCCACCTTAGACCTCACATGCCAATGAGGCAAGAACATTGTTTCCAGTTTACAGCTAATGAGTAACACAGCCCACCCCCTGCTAATTGAGCTATACCTGAATTAAACCATCACATCATTTAGATTAATTCCAACAGGCTTAACCAAGAGGTTCCTACTGGGCCTCCCAGAGAAAGGAAGGGTTAACCGTGTATCTTTACACTGAGCTGCCCAAGGGCTTGGCAGCTAAGCGGTTAGCTGATAGGTAGAACAGTGTCACTTCCAATTAGCCACAAGCCCAGCTCCTCTGGTTTCTGCTGAATTATGCAGTGTGTGGGGATGGAGGGCCACTCAAAGGAAACCTCCCGTGGGGGGGTCTTCCACCAAAACCCCTACAAATACGGTTCAGGGTACCCTCGAAGTGTCCGCACGAACACGCCTCAAAATCTAGCGGCTTTATAAACCACGAGAAGTGAATCACAGGCTTGAAAGTACCTGGAGCCAAAGAACAGCCCTCTTGGCTGAATATGGCTGATTAAGTCAGCTGGTACATAAAGCTTTTCAACGCTCAGCCAGTCTTGTCGGATAAGGTTATCTTCTTCTATAACACAATGGAACTGTGCTAGATAGTTTCAAAGTGGAGAAGTACCCAAATATATCACCTATAAAAAAATTCACGGTTTTAGTTTGCTTTTTTCTTAGACTTTGGTACTGAAACACTGTCTACATTCTCGACACATGAAAATGACATGGCCACTTCCGTGCCTCTGCATGTTGTGTAAAAAAACTCAAAAGCAAAGCAGGACAAGGACATGTCATAACATGATGCAGTATGCTGTACAAACAAGACCTAAATTATATATAAATACATCCCCCCCCAGCTCCCCCTTGTCCCTCCCCACTACCTGACCAAAGCAGTGCCAAGGGTCCTTCTCTCCAGGGCCGGTGCAGTTTGCGAAGCCCGGCACCCGGGACTCCAGCCACCTCTTGCCGTGCGGTGATATTCACACCACTGCCTCCTCCTGGAGATGCTCTGCTGTCCGATCAGCTCCACAAATGCAGGGAAACCCCTACAGCTTAATTTGAAACATTCACACTGTGGGCTGGACTCCAGGGATCTGGAGTTCTGGGAGTTAACCTTCCAGATAAACTAACTGGATCATTTCCTAATCTGGATCCCCCCTTATCCTAATGTCTCAGCACAGCTAACATAGTAGGAAGCATCCTTTCCTCTGAAGTTCCAAAGGCACTGCTTAGAGATATTGGTGAGTGTCACATAGTAAAAGTAATACAATGAGCTAACAGCTTAAGTTGATATAAATCATTTCCAAGTAAGTTATTTGGGGCCATTTGCTTCTGCTTTACACTGCATTCCAGATTCATTTTCATAGTACACTTTTGAAAGTTTATATAATAGTTATTTTAAAAATGGTCTCCACAATCACCTCTTACATGTTTTCAATTAGTTTAATAACAACTTAACAAGCTGTTATAAAGACCTAGGTAAAAGTAGTTAATTAGGCTTAAGGAAGCCAATACTGTGCTAATTCACAGTAAAGAGAAAACGTGATATAAATAGAATTTATGTAATCGTCGATTACTTGAAAAGCAGTTTTATCAAAATGTTGCAAACTTTTCCCAAAAGCACTTACAGCAATTTATATCAAGAGATCCTAAGTTTAGGGGTATGGAAGATACAATTCTTTCATGACTGTAATATGTAATCTTCCCCTTTGGACCTAAGATATCTGTACATTCAAAAGTTCGTAACTTGCTGTTTTTGAGACATTAATCATTCTCTAATACGTACATTGAGTATAAATAAATAACTACGAGAAAGCTTTAAAAATCTGAATTAACGTTATGCTGTGCAAAAACCAAAAACCAAGAATAAATCCAAAACAAAACCAACCAAACCTTGAACAACCTACATTCTATGTAAATACCCTGACTAAAATGTTGGTTGTGCTACACACTTCACTTCAGTGCAGAAATGAGTTGATCTCGGTGTACCATCTTTGTTGGCGGTGGTGGTAAGTCTTAAGCACTTTTGTTTCTAAGTATCCCCTTGCTTTGAAAAGATGAATAACTTGCTACCAAATCACAAATTATCACAAATCCATGTCAGTTTAGTCTGAATAAAATCCAGCATAAATGTATTACTTTGTTCTGGAAATAATGGCTCGGTGTCTTTGTTCTGACAGCTTCCTAAGGGCAAACCACAGTTTGAAGTTGTCGTTTTGGGTTTAAACTGCACAGAAAGAAGAGACAGTGAAGCCTGCTTTTTGTTTTTGTTTTCTTTTTAAGTCTCCAGATCTGGCTAGGACACTTCTTCCAGACCCACAGTCAGACAGTTGTGGCACCTGATCCTATTTGAAACAGAGGTGGTTTAAACAGCATCAACCAAGCTTAGTGATCTGGAGGTCCCCATTTATCTTTATGGTGTCGATTGCAGATAACGTCTGAATGCGGTGGTAGAAATCAAAAAGTTGGTGTCCATCCACAAACACTCTGAAGCGTGGGTGCTCACAGAGAATTTCCACCTGGAAGAAACAAAATCATAAGCTCAATTCACAATTTCAGTGAACCCTGATAGGGAGAACAAACACACAGTCCTTCAGTTTAGAGAAAGGCAACATCTTCAGTGGTTCTCAAACCCTGGAATCATACAGAAGTACAACACAGGCTGCTGGATGCCACCCCCCCCAAAATTTTTGATTTAGTAGGTCAAGGGTCAGATCTAAGAATCTGCATTTCCATCACGTTCTAACACGATGCTGCTATTGCTGGAATGAGGAACACACCTTGTGAACCATTGTTCTTCACTCTTCAATATCCTTTAAAGATTTTAATTGTTCATGCTTGACCACTTCTCCATTCTCTTTGTACTCCGGGAAGTAACGTAAAGCAGCACAGATTTATTTATATGGCACTTAAGGCCTCCACGGTCATCCCCTGAACCTACCCCACCCTCAGAGGAGACCCTCGCAGAGATAAACTGGCACCCACTTAGTAGCATGTAATAACAGTCTAGGCACACAACCATGGTAAACACTAAAGCAGAGAGAAGGTTACAAAGTAATTACCATTGGATCAAGGATGTGTAATTAACAAGGCTTTGTTAAGCCAAACACAAATGCTGATTCCATATGGTAAAAGCTTTTTCTTCCTCTTTTCCTTAAGGAATTCACCATAGATTTTAATCACTGGTTCTGTGCTATGTATTTATTAAAAGCATTGGTGGCCACCATGTAAGAAGAGACTTCATATGTGATATTAGTCACATTTAATTCATATTATTACTAAAATTATATCACCAAGAAGGGCCGATTTCACTTCAGTTTGGTTGTTGGGGAGCATTATATTCCTCTTGGCAGACAGAAGCTCTGGTTACTCATACTCATGAGCTACGCATTAAGATTCATCATTAAGAAACTGTCACAGTCAAAAAAAAAAAAAAAAGAAAGAAAGAAAGAAACTGTCATAGTCAAGAGGAGCCTAAGGGGCCATTATCATTCTAGAGAAGGGCGGAGGGCATGGGTAATATGTACCGGGACCTTCTCCAGACTATGATTAGAAGGGCAACAATCTCAATTCTATCACTGACTAAAAGTCATGGATTCTTATTCCGCCCCCACCACATGTTATGATGAGAAGAAAAATTATTACTTCTTTATAAGGCCCTTGTAAATGTCTAGATGAAGAGCAACAGGTTAAGGGTAGTTGTGCTTTATTAGGCTTATATGCAACACGGAGCTTCTCACTGAGCTGTTATTATTGTAATGGATGTTAACAGGTGTAATACAGACAACTTCACCAGGCCTGGTATTTCAATAAATCCTTTCCTAACACATTACCCACATTACCTGCATCTCTTACTTGGCACTGTCCTTCATAAGGAAGGTGCTACTAATGTTGCTTGGCTGGATGGGAAGTTTGGGTTGTGCTTCCTGCCCACTAGATGGTGGAGAGCCAAGTTATACCCATCTGGGCCCAAGGGAAGGAATTTGTCAGCCACACAGCCGGTGACAATAAAACAGACTGAGGCTTCTTAACCCAGAGGGAGACACAAGGACCAGACCTCATTAGCAAAAGTAACAAGAGAAAAAAAGATTATCACTATTGTTCTTAAAAAAAGTCACCACTAATAAGGTTTAGGGCTCCTTATAGGTTGAAAAAAAATGAGGAAATTTCTAGCACTTATTATTTAATAATCAATCAAGATATTTTGGGACAGGTATAGATTATGTGCCTAGTACTAGGTTGAGTACTACATAGAAAAGTATTTATTCTTAACAATCTGGACATGGGTTTATTTACTAAATCTACGGCTAAACAGAGCCAAGAGCTACTATGGTATTAGTTCGTATCAGCAAACAGAGCTCTTTTGATCATTCTTCTTTTTGTCACTATCAGGTGACAAATTTCCTAGACGTGCAAAAATTCTGGCTGCTTAAAGCATTCTTGGCGTACGCCGGAGGAGCAGAGCACCATCACCCCGCCAGTGGCTACAGTGGAAGCGTTCGAGGTACTCACCCTGAATGGCTGGTCTGGGATGAATGGAAAGTAAGGGATTGTGGACTGTTCTTCACCTCTTTCGCCAGATATACAAGAATTTCTGAGTAGTTGCCGGTCTGTGAACACAGCTTTGAGTTCAATGGCCACATCGGCGGGAGGGTCTTCGGAGTCACCACAGGTCAAGCTGATGGCAAAGCTGAAAAGAACATCGTTTCATTTATTCTGGGTTTGGCTATCATTGACCCAGGCTCCCACAGTTCCTCTTTCTCCTTGGGGTTTGTTTGCTTTGAATGGGCCACTACTCTTTACACAGGAGATTAGACTATGTATGGAGGAGGAGGATTACAGTCAAGCCAGGTATTTTGTTTATTTTATTTTTAAAATTTTCTTTAAGAATTTATTTATTTGACAGAGAGAGACACAACTAGAGAGGGAACACAAGCAGGGGGAGTGGGAGAGGGAGAAGCAGGCTTCCCGCTGAGCCAGGAGCCAGATTCGGGGCTCGATCCCAGGACCCTGGGATCATGACCTGAGCCAAAGGCAGACCCTTAACGACTGAGCCACCCAGGCGCCCCCAAGCCAGGTATTTTAATACCGAAAGGAGGCTGTGGTAAGAACTTCGGTGGAGTTGAACATGACTAACATTAGGGATTTCACATACCCCAAACCACCCACACATCTGTGTCTTAATCCGTTTCAGAATTCTCAAAAACAGCCCCAGAAACTGACCAGAGGAAATAATATCTTGTAATATTTGCTTGTCATTTATATTGGTAGATCTTGCTCCAAGCACCAGGTTTAAAAACCCTTAAAAAAAATCCTTTGGCTTCCTCAAGGGTCAAAGAGAAAATGATGTGGGCCTATATTTATAATCTCTGATATAAATAGCTGTCTGGAGAAATGATGGCTGGGATTCATACACATTCTTTTCATGGGAACGTGGTACTTTCTTGGCACTTCCAACTACCAACACTGGCCACAGGGAGAAGAGGGGGAGCAAGCAACCACAACAAGAGTGGGCAGGGCCTTGTAACTGCCTGATAAGCTTTGGGGGCCACAAGGACTCTCTGGCTTACCTCTCTGGGTTGAGGTCTACAATGCCCATCACCAACACCTTCTTGCCTGGTCTCATGCCACCTTTAATATGCCCACAAAATGGAACTATCTGCAAAGGAGGACAGGAGAAACAGGAAGTGTACCGCCTGTCCCGGCAGAGCCAAGCCCTCAGATCCTGAGGACCTGACCCATCAGAAAATGCAATTAGAAAGGAAAAGGGTGCAGGCAGAGACACAGAGCCCAGAACGAAATCACTTACCAGGCGTGGGAAGTACACGTCGGCTTGAACTGGAGAGCCCAAGGAGTTGTTTAAATGCCCATCATCTAGTTTCTAAAAATAGCAGCACACAGATTGGCTTTCCAGAGGCTCTAGTTTTAGGGGGCGTGGGGGCTGGGAGGAGAAGGGGAGGGAGTGGGGAAGCACCTATACAGATCTGGCTGAATCCAGCAGCCTTCACCGGACACAGGCAGTGCCTGCAGATGCTGCCACCTCACAGCCCACTGAATAACCTCATAAAGCCCGGGAACAAAACCCGTCCTTTCCACCCGGTAGCTCAGCTTCTGAAGATCCCCAGACCTTCAGATCTAGATCAAAATCCAGGTCGAGGCACGCCGGGGAGCCAGAGCCCCGCGTCGGAGGAGGGGAGGCCCCTCTTCAACCGCAACCGCTTCTGGACCCGCAGTCGCCCAGGCCTGTCCTGAGGGACATGGCTGGGGTGCAGGGCCGCTCTCAACTTCTCTCGGGGGCCCGAGGGCCAGACCCATTTCCAAGGGGGAATCCCCGGGACGTCGGAGGCGGCCGCGGGGCGCGCGCCCCAGACACACTCGCACAAGCGCACACTCACACGTGCAACGTGCACACACCTGGCCGCCGGCTGCATGGCACCGCGGGGGCAGTCGGTCACCCCCACGCCACCGTCCGCCCCCATGCACCCTCTCTCCGGTGCACCCGGGGCACCCGCCTGCCCCCCAGGCCGGCCGCTCACAGCCGGCGCTCGCTAACAGGTACCGGGCGCCTTCCCACGCGGGGGGCGCCGGGCTGGGCCTCAGCCTCGTCTACGCCGCAGCCAGGCTGAGCAGGCGGCGGCGTGCGGGGCCGCGGGAAAGGGGCGCCTCGCGTGCACCCCTCCGCACTCACCACCGCGGTATCGCTGTCGGCCACCGATCCCGCCATCTTCGTGCACGGCGCGCCGGGGTGCACGGCTGGCGGCCCGGCGGCGGCGGCGGCGGCGGCGGGGGACGTGGGACGCGGCGCGCGGGCGGGGATCCCGGGGCGGTCCTGCGCCGGGCGGGGGCGCGGGTCCGAGGCTGGCCCGGCGCGCGCACACACCACACACACACTCGGGCGCGCACGCGCGCGCACGCCTGGGGCCAGGCGCCGACCCGGCAGGCTGGGGGGGGTGGAGGGGGAAGGAGCGGGAGGGCGGCGCGGGTCGGGAGGTCGGAGGTGGCCGCCGCTGCCGGCACCGGCGCTGGCGAGTCGGGGCTGCTTTCTTCCTCGGGGTGCTGCTGTCGCCTCCCGAGGCAGAAAGGTGACGAGGGCCGCGTCGCGCTGGCCCTGGGAGGCATTTAAAGGCCGCCGGGGCCCGGCTCGGGAACCGGGAACGGGGCGGGGACCGGGCTGGGCTGCCGCGGCTTGCTCAGCTTGCCCTGCCCCTCGGCCATTGGAAGGTGGTGGGAGGCTGAAAGGGGGAGGGACGGGCCAGTCGCAGCCGGGGCGTGCGGGAGGGCGGCGGCTCTGGGGGCTGGGGAAGTAAGGACCAGGGCCTGCCAGGTGACAGGTGCTTGTGACACCTTCGCCCCTCCCTTCCAGCCAACCTCCTTCCTTCTGTCACGTCCTGGGGACGGTGGAGGCCGAGGTCGAGGGAGGACTGGAGGGTGGGGACGGTATTCCAGAGCTCCAGATTTCTTTCAGAAAATTCCAACAAAGTGGAGGAGAAGATTCGTTCGGCCCTCTAGGGTAGAAGGATAATGAGAGGGCTCTAGATTTGCGTAAATAAATATTTGACCCGAAAGCAAGAGGCAGAGAGGACTCAGGGTAAGGACTTTTTTTTTTTTTTAATCCCAGGAGGCTAGATACAGAATAGGCCTCTCTCTCCCTTGTGGACTGATGGGCAGGCCTGGGCGACCCTGGAGGCTCTCCAGGACAGGGGCTGGCTATGTATTACCAAGCGGAACTGCTCCCAGTGAGTCCTCAGCCCCCACTGGGCCCTGTTTTTCACAGGTCACCTGCTCAGTGTGGGCCAATAAGTTTCTCACTGGGAAACTCCTTATATCCTTTGTGGAGTAATTCCCAGGGGTACACCCCTCTTTTTGTCCAAGGCACAAATTCCTTTTTGGTATTTTTTTTTTTTAAGATTTTATTTATTTATTCATGAGAGACAGAGAGAGAGAGAGAGAGAGAGGCAGAGGGAGAAGCAGGCTCCCAAGGAGCAGGGAGCCCATGCGGGACTCGATCCCAGGACCCTGGGATCGTGACCTGAGCCGAAAAAGGCAGACGCTTAACGACTGAGCCACCCAGGCACCCGATTATGTAACTTCTTAGATAAAGCTGTATCAACATACCCTCTATTAGGTGACATCTTGGTTTAAACATTCCATTGCATGAATCACCAGGGTGTTTTACACTAATAAGCAGGGAGCATGTGTGACATGCTGCAGTCCCAGAGGGGCCCTCACAGGCTCCCTTCTGGCCAGTGCTGCTGGCTGTGTGGCCTGGAGCATCACTGCAGCTTTTGTGTCTTAGCTTTCCCCTTATGGACCAGAGCTAATCGTAGTAACCTCAGTCCAGTAGGGAGAATTATCTGCACACATCTGTATGCCACAGTCCTGTCCTTTGTGTGCTCTGAAGTAGAGACTCAAATGCAACACAGTTGTGGTTCACATTTTTTATCTTGTTTGCAAGTCTTAGCTCAAAATCACACCTTAGTGATTGTTTAAAATAGATAGGCAGTGATAAGAAACCATGGACATTTTGAAAGCCCACTTGGATATATCTCGGTTTCTGAGAGTCTGGTACAGGGAAAAACCATCGAAGTCATTTCATTAGTTAAGTGTGACAATACATCTTGGTGGTTAAAGAGCCTGTGCCCTGGGTTCAGATCCTGTCTCTACAGTTTACTAGCTGAGTGATCTTGGACAAGTGTCTAAGCTTTTCTGTGCCTTAATTTCTTCACCTGTGAGCCAGAGATGACAGTGCTGATGCTAGGGGCTTCTTGTTGGGAAGATGAAGTAAATGGGTTCTTGGACCTTCCTTAGAATAGTACCTGGCACATAGTAGCACTCACTCTGCAAAAATGCTCAGTGCCTGCCATGTACCAGGCACTGGGGATCCAGCAGGGATTTTGTCTGTTGAACTTCTAGTGGGGAAAGGCAGTCCATCAACAAAAAAATACATAATATGTCAGGCCATAAAATACAAAAAAATAGGAAAGAAAGTAAGGTGGGAGAGAGAGATAGGAGGTGGAGTGGTGTTATTTACATAGGGGTGGGCCGGGAAGCCACCTCTGGTAAAGTGATGTTTGATGAGACCCCTGAAGAAAGGGAAGGGGGAGGGAGTCCTTTGGAAGTCTGGAAGAAGAGGTTTCTGGTGGAGGGAACTGCAAGGAAAAAGTCCCAGGTGAAGTATGTGAAGAGTGTTGGGTGCTTCGACAGAAGAGATAAATAATTACCAATAAAATAGGCCCCATAGACCATGTGAGGATTGGTTTTTACGTGAGAGAGGGGGGAAGACATTGGAAGTTTCTGAGCAAAGGAGTGACATAGTTTTCCCTCTGTTACAGATGCATCCCTCTGGCTGCTGTGTGGAGTGGCCTTTGTGGGGCGGGGAGTGCCCAGGAGGGAGGGTACAAGCAGGACTCCTCCACCGGGCCAGCAAGATATAATGGCGGCTCAGACACCTGGTGGAAGTGATAAAGATGTGAGAAGCCGTGGGCCCTTGATAAGTCCTAGCTGTTACCATTATGCAGCTTTGAGAGTTCATATTGACTTCTGAGCCTGTTTCCTCACCTGCAAAATGAAGGGTTGGGTTCATTCATCATTCCTTCTTAGCTCTTAGAAAGTTCTTGGGGTTCCTGAAAAGATGTGTAAATACCATCTGAATTTGAATGGGTTTGAGAGTAAGGGCTGCTGAATGAAAGCAATCTTGGGTTGACTCTTGGCTTGAAAAGTGATTTTATAAGGTGAAGAATAATCCTTTGATTTGTTTTGTAAGTGGAGTTGACGATGTTTGGATTGCTTGAGATGTGTTTCTTACATCTTGGGAATTTAAAGAACAGGAAGGTACTGAACCGTCCCAGAGTACTTTAACGTGGAAAATTGCCTTTTATCCCCAAAATGCTTCATTCCTTCTCAGTCTACAGAATGACTCATTTTAAATATGAAGAGGAAGGAGAAAGCCTAAATGAATTTTTTATTCTAATTAAAGCTGAACAGAGTCAAACTACTTTTTACAGGGAAAAGTTATTAGCAAATTAATGAATTATAGAGCTTTAATTTATTTTTATTCTTAGTTGTGTAGAGAAGGCAGACTGCTCTCTACTCGGATTTCAGGCATTTGTGTCTAAAACAACATTAACCAAGACTGTGACCCTTTTATGAGGTGCACCCGTGAAATTTCAAGATGAACTGCACTACTACTGGAAAATGCTAAAAAGGCTAAAGAAGCGGGGGAAGGCAGTCAGACAGATGGTTAACATCAAAAAAGAAGTATAAACAGGTCTTTGAAGATTTTGCTAAATGATCTTCCCAGATGAAAAGACTAGATCACTTCCTTTTTTCCTTTCCATTTAATGTGTTTTATTCACATGTGTGCAGGCCGCATTTCTAATATTGGGAGGAGACTACAGCATTGATGTCAATTAAACAACTATTTTACGGGTATTGTTTTGTTCTATGATACCATGAACCAAAAAGAAATACTTGAAAAGGCCCAAGTCTTGTCTTCGAGGAGCTCACAGCTCACTCTGGGAACCAATGGCAGAATGTCGTGGTTGGTAAGGTAATAAAGGCCTCACATTTATAGCCCGAGCACTGAGCGGGGGTGTCAGTTGCATTTGGAGGCTTAAGGCAGCTTCCTGGAGGAGGTGGCAAATTTCTGATCAAAGGTGTACAGCGACTTCCACAGTCCCGAAAAAGCATGTCTTCAAACACCACATCACAGCTCCATTTATGGCCTGAATTCTAAATCCAGGCTTCTCTATTCTCTCTGGCCCAGCAGCTAGCTAAAGCCATGTCTCAGAGGTTGCGTTTTTGTCTCCCGCCCTGGTACAGATGGACATACCTTGTTCCCTTGCCCTGAGCCTGCCTTCGTAGGCTTTCTGCCGGCCCTGACCCCCTCGGCCTGACTTTGACCTTCTGACCACCTGTTTTCTGTGTGTGTATAGACACGTTGGCTGGAGCAGGTTTTCCTAACCTCAGCACCATTGACATTGTAGGCTGGGAAATCCTTTGTTTTGGGGGGCTGTCCTGTGCATTGTAGGATGTTGAGCACTAGATGACAGTAATGTCACCCCCTACTCCGACATTGACAAATGTACCCCATGGGGTGCAGGTGGGGAGTGCAAAATTGCCTCCCATTCAGGACCTGCTATCTAGAAGGTGCTTTAAGATTCCTATTATTCAGAGGCACCTGGGTGGCTCAGTCATTAAGCGTCTGCCTTCAGCTCAGGTCATGATTCCAGGGTCCTGAGATTGAGCCCCACATTGGGCTCCCTGATCAGCAGGGAGTCTGTTTCTCCCTCTCCACCTGCCACTCCCCCTGCTTTGTGCTCTCTCTCTCTCTCTCTCAAATAAATAAATAAAATCTTTTAAAAAATATTCCTATTATTCATATTTTTATACATGATATGAAATGTATCCAATCTAATCTAGAGTAAACTTGCACATCAGAAAAGCCTCCTTTTGTATTTGGTGAGTCATCGCTTCCTGATACTACATGAGCACTTCACCAGTGGTCGCACAAAGAACACCTAAGATGAAGGGGAACCTGTGCAAGCCCCTGTAGCCGTAAGTCCCAGCTCAAAATGTCTTTGTGATATTGAGAAATTTGCATTCTGTTTTATCATACTGCCATGTTTATTTCTGATATAAACCTAATGTGCTCCCTACACCCTTAAATACAGTAAAATTGAAGCATCCCAAGTGTTTACCTTCTTTTATCCTGTGGCTTGATGCCCTCCCCACCCCAGGCCCCAAAGGATGGTTGCAGCCTCTTTTGAGGAATGACACCGCAGTTTTATAGGCCCGTCAGGCTTTCCACTCTCCATAATTGTTTTTGCCAGGCCAGTCTCTGCTCATGATAAATATTCATGTAAGCGGCAAAATACACAAAGTCAGCATCCTTTTGCTTACCTAGTTAGGTAGGAGGGCACACATTTATCAAGCTCTTTTTCTATATTTCAATACATGATTAAAGTTCTTAATTATTGTAGGAACTATGCCCACCGTTATCAAATAATTATTTTAGACATGCATACATTTGTGTTGTACCAAAGTAATCAGGGGACAACCATAAAACTTGGCAGTCAATGGCAGTTCCTAACATTTCATTATTTTCAGTTTATTTATGAGGAAACT